CACACACACCTGTAAATGTAGCTCACTCTCGAGACTTCCAGCAAACACTTCTCTTTCTCTCAGCCTTCATATCGTAAACTGTGGAGGCGAGCACTCTCGGGCCCTTTTAGCGGTTCGTGTCAGTAAAAGTGAATGAAGAGACAACTGAGTCACCGCTCGGTTAACGGGGGCCCAGAATGAGTCGACTGAAAAGAGACGCGACGGGGAGCGGGGAATGTCTCTGTTCTGCGAGACGCATTTTGCCCCGGAGTACAGTCGGGAGAGCGGCTACTCACATTCAATTAAAAAGGAAAGGTTTGAAATGAGCAAGACACCAATCTGGCTGAGTAATCCAAATTAAGCTTGTTAAAAGAAGAATGCTCGAGAGAAAAGAGCGCTCTGCCAGGAATTTGTTTCAGAGGAGAGCGTGCCCGTTTGCCTTGAATGCAGCCTCACACGTTGGATTTGTCGCATCCCGCTGTTCGATTGTGAAATAAATTTCACGTCGCGGCATCATCGCCCTCACTCCCCTTTCTGTGTCTCCCTCTCTCTCTCTTTGCCTGCGCCGTGTCCCGCAGATGATGGCCAAGCCCAGCGAGTCGCCCGTGGGCCGTCAGCACCAGAGCCACCCCGAGGAGACGGAGGAGGAGCTGAGGGAGCACCAGGAAGGAGGAGGCCTGCCGCACGGGGTCACCATCAAGCAGGAGCCCCCCGACCCCCAGGAGCTGCAGGAGGAGGTGCTGCAGCAGCAGCACAGGGAGAGGCAGGCTGAGCAGGAGCTCCTCTTCAGACAGGTAAAAGATGAGGAGTTAGACGACATAGGCCGAGAGGATCAATATGAACTTTTAGAGCACCTGATTGGCTTAGATAGGTTGCAGGTGTTCCTGGGGAAGTCCTGGAGTGTGGCGGGGGGTGGTTTGAAAGAAAAGGCACAGCGTTCATGAGATTAAGAAGCAAAAGGGACGATCAAAGCCAGATTATTTGTTTTGGCTGCCACCTTTTGGCCACAAGTTGCGCTTGCAGTAAAAAAAAAAAAACATCAGTTTTATTATCTAAACATTTTTCCTTTATTTTTCATTTTTGTGCGTGCGAGCAGCAGGCCCTGCTGTTGGAGCAGCAGCGGATTCACCAACTGAGAAACTACCAGGCCTCCATGGAAGCTGCCGGCCTCTCCATCTCCTTCCCGGGACACCGCCCCCTGTCCAGGGCCCAGTCATCTCCGGCCTCCGCTTCCTCCTTCCCGATCAGCGTCCCCACGCCCGATCCTCCAGTCAAGCCTCGCTTTACCACAGGTCAGCATCGCCCTCCTCTCCTCCCACTGAAGCATCACGTACTGTGTGCGTGCTCGTTTGCTTACACTGTAACTCAAATCTACAGTCACTGTAAAGCAACCAGTAGGATTCATCACCAGTTTAGCCGCCTCCCTGTGACTTTAATTTCCATCTTAATGCACTCAGGACTGGAAAGAAAAAAAAATCTCCCAAAAATCAGGTGAATTGGCCCGAAAACACTGTGCTAGTCCCAGCCTCCATCTGGTAGCAGAAATAGACGAGCTGGATCAGTGAATCTTGCCAAAATCTTTGTCTCTCCCACTCTGTTGTTT